TGTGGCAGGCGCCTACAGTCCTAGCTACTTGGGAGGCGGAGGCAGGACAATCACTTGAGCCCAGGAGTTGGAGGTTGCTGTGAGCTGTAATGCAACAGCTTGAGGCTCTGTCTCAAAAAAATTAAATAAGAGTAGTTATTCTTTCTTCCAGGATATTCCATTTGTTCAAACCACAAGCTGCTAGCTTGAAAGAAGACAATGTGGACCAAAGGCTATACACACAAGAACAGCTATTTTATGTCCAGTGATGTACATATCCAACTCAGTTACCCTTCAAATTTTTCATGTTTTCACAAAAAAACTGTCATCTTTCAAGTTGCTCTGCCGTCAAAATGTTCAAGATGGTGGCATATAAAGTTCTATGATGGAAATATCTGCACACTCAAACAAGGTAAGTCATTAACCACACATAGCTTTTGAACTCTTTAGAATTGGCTAGAGCTCAGCGCCCGTAGCACAGTTGTTACGGCACCAGCCACATACACCGAGAGTGGCAGGTTTGAACCCAGCCTGGGCCAGCTAAACAATTGCAACAAAAAAATTAGAATTGGCTAGTATAACCCAGGAACTGAAAATTTTAAATAACCATAAACTACTGGTTATCTTACTGGAAAGAGCAAATACTGGACAGCACAGCTTTAGTTAACTAAATCCCACTTGAAGACTGTGACGTGGTACCCACAGTTCCTAGCACAAGTGCCTGAAACCTTTCCTAAATCTAAGGGACCTCTTGCTATTCACAAAGCCCCTTTCAACTATACCTGAGTTTATGCTTATGCAGTGACTTGGGAGGATGAAGGGAAAACCAAGTGATTAGATTACTGGAACTGTTAGCCCAATCCTCCCTTCCAGGGTGGGGAAGGCAACTGAACATTGAGATTGTTAACAATGACCAATGACTGACTGCCAATATAATGGAGCCTCCATAACTCCCCTAAAACTATAGGGTTCACAGCTCTGGGTTGGTAAACTTGCCCACATGCCAAGAAAGTGGTGTATCTGAAATGCCACAATAGGAATTCCCTTATGGATTTAACTCCATTTACCTCTTTATAATAGAAATGGACAAAGGAATAGTGTTTCCCCCAATTGTTAACCTTTATAGGAAAATTATCAAACCTGGAGATACATGGGAGCCTCAGATTTGCAAAGTCATACTGAAGTGTAACATGGTGACTCCCTGCAGGTGACCCTCCTCTTATGAGACTGAGGGGTCCTACAGGAACTTCACCTAATTTCAGAACTGAATTACAATCACAGGACAATTGCATGATACAGGGAAAACACATTTGGTGTCAGTATTCTGAGTAGAGTTTCAGAACATTTACATATAAAGTAGAAAGTCACTCTAAAAAGAATTAGGACTTGGTGCACAGCCTGCTCATCTATTTATTATATAATCACCTCTGGGTGTTTGTCCTTTCCTGAGTAATCTATTTGGCCTCTAATATTCTGCCTATCATGTTCGCCAGCTAATTTTTCCATCTTTACCTAAATTTAAGCTGTTCAAGACACTAGCAAAAACAAAATGGTAAAGAAATATATGCTGCTGCTCAAATTATAAATCTGGCATCTTAAACTCATTCTTAACATTTGATATGTCAAGTCAAATAACACTTGCAGAGATAATGTAAATTTTTCTAGGCTTTTTTTTTTTTTGAGACAGAGCCTCAAGCTATCACTCTGGGTAGAGTGCCATGGCTTCACTGCTCACAGCCACCTCCAACTCCTGGGCTCAAGGGAGTCTCCTGCCTCCACCTCCCAAGTAGCTGGGACCACAGGCGCCTGCCACAACGCCCGGCCATTATTGTTTGGGGGGTCCCGGCTGGATTCGAACCCGCCACCTCAGGTCTATGTGGCTGGCGTCTTAACCACTTGAGCCACAGGCACCTAGCTTTTTCTAGGCTTCTTATGGCCACTAGTATATATCAATGGACAAAAATAAATGCCTTTAAGAAATCTGTTTAGGCCAACTGCATCTTTCCGTTCATAACCAAGTATAATATCCGCTTTAAAATTACATGTACTTAGTAGTAAAGATCCTTCCTAGCTACAGTAAAATTAAGGAATTCATGCTAGGTACATGTATTTTTTTTTATTTTTTTGCAGTTTTTGGCCAGGGAGGAGTTTGAACCTGCCACCTCCAGCATATGGGGCTGGTGCCCTACTCCTTTGGGCCACAGGTACTGTCCCAGGTGATGTATCTTAATACTTGAAAAGTACTATAAAAAACAAAGAAATGCCAACGACATCTCATAGGTTGTGTTTCAAGAGCATCCATTTCACCTTCTTCTGGCTCAGTTTTCTACCCTAATGCCAATATCCTTAACTCTTCCATGCTTAACTATCCCAGTCTTCCCTCAAATTTGAGGCCAACTTCTTAAAATAATGTACAACATCAAGTGGGAATATTGTTAAAATTCAGCAGGTATGAGGTGGAAGCTTGAGATGTAGCAATCCTCAAACTCCCGGATAAGACCAGGGAGTCCTATGTTGTTAGTCCATGGATTTGGATTTGGGATTAGCAAGGCTTTTTCTTAACCAAGAGATGCCTCCTTTTATTTCTATATTAAGTGAAAATCCATTAGGTTACATATACAGAGAGAGACAAAATAATAAAAATGAAATTTATTAATATACAAAATACAAACAGTTCAATTACTGTGTCTTACAAATTTCACTTCTATATAATTGATACACATTACAAATATATACACAAAACTCCCACCTGTATGTAAACTTTGGTCCATTTTTGTGCTATTTCTTATCTGTAAGAGAAACCTAAAATGTTAATATTTGAATATTAAGTATTTACATCTTTTGTAGTTCATTTTTAATTGCAACAATTACCACTAAATGCCTCAAAGAAATGGGATAATGTGAAAAAGTCAAACTTGAAATAAAGTGCAGTTTCATGCAAACTTAGCCATTAGTACTCTTCCTTTAGACAGGTATCCACAATCCATACGGACTCTTCTTCTTATCTATTTTTGGTGACCTTGAAGTTGTCTCTTCAGCACCAGCTTTAGCTGATTTCTGTATTGGCTTTGCTATAGAATTCTGGAAAAAAAAAAAAGTAAGTTAGCTTCTCAAACACATTCTAAAACCAATTTTTGAATGATAAATGCTTAGATATACTTACATTAGAACTAAAAGCTATGCTTCTTTGCTGGGGAGATTTTTCATTGGGACTTCTAGTTCCACCTTCTGTTAGCTTTTCTGACAGCTAAACAAGAGAAAAGTGTAACTTTAAAAATACATATCCCTGATTTCCAACTACCACATAAAAAGCAACTCAACTATATATAAATTTAGTAGTAGACATACAAATAAAGTTCACTCTAACCATGTAGTTAACAGCCTAAACAACACAAACTTGAGTTTTCTTTTCCCCTTAACAAAACTGATTTAACAGGTTTAAGACACTTTTCCTATAATTATTTTATTCCCCTGCTTTGAATTCAAGTTAACTTTTGAAAGTGAAGTCATACCAGAAAATACCTTATTTTCAAGTAATTAAGGCATCTGCCTTAATTAGGGTACCTAATAGCTTCAACAAGCTATTCTACTAAGATCTTATTTGTCTACTAATATAAGCAAACATACATCTGGGTCCCAAAGATAGGTTCACTTAAGATGGATCTCTTTACTGATCTTTATCAATTTCTAACTACTTTAAACCTTTAAAGCTATGAATTTATTTAAGCTTCGGTTTCACACAATTGAAGGTACAGTGCAATTTGCCAATGCACATCCTGCACATTTCTGGAGAATTATAATAAACTTATCTGCCAAGTGAAGCAGGCCTCCTCTTCTGTAATCTCTCAAAACATCTGGAATATATTGCATATATTATGAAAGGGACATCTATGGCACAGATGCCCCACCATTACAAAGTGTACCCTTGCTTAGATTAAAAACTGTCTTCAGTACCTTATATAAATAGTACCTGTCCCAAATTCTAGCATGCACATGTATCTAACAACAAAAACTACTTTTTCAGTATGTGAATGTAAACTTCAAATTAGTTAAACCTCTGATACTTTAAGCCCATGTATCAATTACCAACAGATTTTCTTCATCAATTGTCTGGAGACCACATTCATGATTTCTATAAGACAGAAATAAAGCAGATAAACTATACTGTATGTTGAGTACAGAATTTGTGGGAACATAATGCTGCAAAGAAAGCTAAACACTCCGTAAAAGACTAGAGTTAGAATTTCATATAGAAATCAAAGTAGCAGCTACAATATTATTAACAGTGTAATGAAAGAGTATGGTGCCAACTGATAAAGTTCATTAATCTCCCATTTTCAGGGGTGTGATCTTGTCTGGCATCATCAATCTGCTCTTTTGATTTTAGCAAATTATACACATCTAGACTTCCCAAGAAGTGTAAAGTAAGTAAGAAACGACTAACCAGATCTTTCAGGCAATAAACAACAAATTTTTGTCTAGATAAATCAGGAATACTTACCTCCAACTTAGCACCAGTATTTGGCACAGCTGTTCCACTATTTGTTTCTTTGGCTGTGGAAACGATTCTGAGACTAGCTGGCAAATCAATGTTGGTCGTTCCTAAAGCTTTTGCTGCATTGGCTTTCGCTATTTCTAATAGCTCCATTCGATCTAGAAAAAAATAAAAAGGTATTCACTATCCCTGTAGTATTTTTCCCAGGAGGACTCAGCAGCTCAAAATAAGCTCTTATATTGCTGTTTTAAGTAAAACATAATTAAGTCATTTGCTTTACTTTCATAAAGGACAGTGAACCCTTGAAAAACACTAGTTTGAACTGCAGTGATCCACTTAACGTATGTTTTTTTTTCTCCATTTATTTATGAATTTTTTTCCCTCCCAAACGAAAGCAGATCAAAGATGCTTCAGTACTGGAGGAACAGAAAACCCCACAATATGGGTGGGTTCTGCAGGGCCAACTGCTGGACTTGTATGGCTGCCCTGTGATCTCAGACTACAGGGACTCTGGAACCTATTTCCCCAGGTATACTGAGGAGTATTTGTCTAACTTTATCCTCAACTCCATGTTTTGCTAAGAAAGGCATTCCTAAATTATCTCTTAATCAACAATTTCCAGTTCTTCCTGACAGAACTTTATTTTTGTATTTTGCTTTCTCTTCAACATCAATTTCTGAACATTAGCATTTTATTCAATGAATTTTCTAATACATTACAATTCATAATCACTAAACCAATTATCAATTACTAATGTCTGTAATTCAAATCCAAGGGATTTTAATCTACCATCCTTTTTTTATTCCAGGATCCCCTCTCCAGGATACCACATGTCATTAATTTTAAAATACTGAACAATCAAATTTTGTTCAGCAAGACAAAACTAAAAAAAAAAAAAAAAGGAAATCTATGCACTGATACTATTATGCCCATCAATACTTTAGAAACCTAATCAACCAAAATATAATTAACATTTTAAAAAGGCTCCACTAAGAAAAGCCAACCACTAGGAAAAAAGATTTACTCCACCTTGAACTCTTTAACGCCTATAATCCTTTAATCCTTTAGAGAAAGAACAGTTGTCCACTTAACAGGACGTCTATGGATCATGTTGTACTTGTCCTCCTTTTCCCCAACCAAAAAGATTTCTGCCAGGCGGTCACCGTGCCTCACACCTGTAATCCTAGCACTCTGCATGTGAGGCAGGAGGATTGCTTGAGCTCAGGAGTTCCAAACCAGCCCGAGCAATTGTGAAAAACCGGTCTTTACTAAACAGAGAAAAACTAGTTAGGTGAGGTAGTGCATCCCTGTAGTCCCAGCTACTTGGGAGGCTGCGGCAAGATGATCGCTTGAACCCAAGAATGTAAGGTCGCTGGGAGCCATGACGCCATGCACTCCAGCCAGGGGCAACAGAGACTGTCGTCCCCCCAAAAGTAGGATTCCTGCCACCCATGAAACTTATTACAACTACACAACTTCGCTTCCTCGGCCTACTCATACGCTGACACCGTATGTGTAAAACGAAGGACGAAGAGGAAGTTAACCGAGCGCTTCCGCGTTCACAAAGGACCTACCTTTTTCACTTAAGCGAAAAGGGGTTCTGCTCCGAGACCTGCTCCTGGATCGCTCCCTCCATCGGTGTTCGTCCTCGGGGTACACTGTGCGCCCAAAGCCGTAGTAGCGCCGCCCGCGCGTGACCGTATAGGTCCTTCGGTAGTGCGACCTCCCTTGGGAGCAGGAACGGGATCGAGACCGGCTGCGCGAGCGGTACCGCGAGGGAGACCGGTGATACCTCCGGGACGGCCCGTAGCGCCTCTCATGGTACCGGCGGCTGCGGGACCGCGACCGACTCCGCGAGTAAGACCTGGAGTAGCGCCTGTACTTGCGCTGGTGGCGCCTTCTCGAACGAGAGCGGGACCTGCTCCTCCTCTGGGGTCGGCTGGAGCTTCTGGACGAAGAGCGACTCGAGATGTGGGAGTAAAAGCGGGAGCTTCTGGAGGAAGAGCGGCTCCGAGACCGCGACGACAGGCGGCTGGAATGGCCCGACCGGGACGACAGGGGGGAATCCTTCTCCTGAGGGGAGCCTGGCCACATGTCGTTCACGTAGTTGGACATCTTCCCCCGCGGCAGCAGCCCTCTTGTTCTTCAAAAAGGCCCTTCCAGAGACTAAGGACAAAAAGGGGGGTAAAAGCCGTCAGCCACAGCAGAAGCTGCCGGACCGGGCGGGGATCGAGCGCTGCGGACTTTGCTCAGCGCCGCTAGGCCGCGGCGTCGACGAGAAAGGCCGCCCTCCCGCCGGGCTGGGCCTGGCACGTCTCCCGCCACTCCCTTCCGCGACAATCGCGGGACAGACCCAGGCACCACAAAGCTCACCGCAGGCTGCCGACGTCTCGCCAAAGACGGAAAGGAAGGTTCAACGGACGCCTTCCTCTCAAAGTTTGGGACAAAGAGAGACTTTTAGTGCCCACGCTCCAAGAACGAAAAGACAACCTTCTCCTTCCGTGTCCAGACCCGAACTGAGCCGAACGTCTACGGACGCGTCGAAAGTACTAGAAGGCGGACGTAGCGCATGCGCAAAGACGTTAGAGTGGTGGGCGTGGCTCTCCTCCTGTCCAACCGCCGCTCTGCCTCCGCCCTCTCCGAGCCGCACCCTTCGCCCCCCGCACAAATGCCTCTATGATGCGCATGCGCGCCTAAGCCTGGACGGGGTGGGGGTGGGGCTCAGGGCTGCTACATCCGGGTGTTTGCCTCCGTGGCTGTTTTTTTTTCCTTCTCTGAGAAGTGGGTTCGGCTGTGTACTGGACGAGAAAGTTAATATCTCGTCCCGCGCGACCAACAGCGTGCTTTGCTTCGACTACACGGGCAGGTGCGGGCTTAAGTGCTAGGTAGTTAGTGGAGGTAGGGGAGGAAAGGCCGCAGGCTGGCCAGACTTCAGACCCGAGACTGACAAACTGATAGGCCGACAAGGTCATTGCCTCCACCCTCCCGGAAGCCGCGGACTCGGGCTGTGCCTTAGTGGACACTTCCTGCCACTTCCTCCTGTCCTGTGTCTGGTGGCGGGAGAGGGCGACGACGTCCAGACTCCTCCAGGCTGCGGGAATAGTTCGGAGAAGAGCGTACTATCTCCTCCCCAGGTCGTCCCAGCATCTCTGAAAACCAATATTAACTTAGAAAAAGTTCCTTACTTCCCTGTTGGGCTAGTAAAGGTAATTAAGGTAGAGACAAAATGCAAAGAAATGCACAGCTGACCCTTAATCTAGGAGGTTAGAGTGGTGTCTGCAATAATGTATTTCAAAGACGGCGTGCTTGGTGTAGGACATGAAACAAAAGTGACGTTTCCGGGGATTTACAAATAGAGTACTTATAAACACTTTTATTGTAATAAAGCCTGACAGTTGCCTTGAAAAATGAGGGTTAATTAACTTTGCATTGAATGAACTAACCACTTCTGCAAGGAAAGTTGGTCTTTATATGCACTACTTTGCAAGTATATTTTTACAAAAGCCACTTTCTTTACACTCTAAAGTTTAGAGAGAGACACAAATTCACTCATTCCCAGTTATTGTCACCTTAAAACCCCAAACTTGCGCACAAATGGCGGAATAAAATCCTTAGACATCTGCACCCACCTACCCTCCCCGCCATACATGCTAACTGTGCACTGTACCATCCAAGGATGGAGGTATCAAGATGGAAGTAGTTCTTAAGTTTCTTAATGTTTCTTTTTTACATGCTATGTTAATAAATGTAACATGCAGTGCCCACCAGGAACTTTTGCTGAAAGTTCTCATTAACCTGTGTGAAAAGAGTGAAAACAACATGAGTGGCACATTTGACAAGGGTAAAATGATGTGTTGGGTGAATAAAGCAAAACTATGTTTACAATGCAGTTTTGAGCTCTTAGTTATGAATAAAGAAGTGTGGTAGGAATCTCTGTAGACTGTTCATACATAGGTCAAATGTGGGCCTAAAAAGGGGTGGCCAGAGAAAGCCTGGATGTTAAAACAGGATATTAGAAACACGGTGGGAAACATTACTGTGCCCTTGGGCAAAATGCTGGTGTATTCATCTGGGGAACTTCACAGACTTCCTGAGTTAAAAGTCTGCAGGGATGTTGTGTTCCTTTTGTTCTTCCTTTTGTTTTTTGAGACAAAGTCTTAGTTTGTCACCCTCAGTAGAGTGCTGTAGCGTCACAGCTCACAGCAACCTCAAACTAGTGGGCACAGGCGCCAGCCACAATGCCAGCTATTTTTAGAGACGGGGTTCTGGCTCTTGCTCAGGCTGGTCTCAAATCCCTCCACCTCAGCTTTCCTGAGTGGTAGGATTATAGGCAGGAGCCACCGCCCAGGCCAATGTATTCCTTTATTTCTCAATACAGAGTATCCTAAAGGTCGCCATACATACATACATACATAGAGAAAATGGCTAATTGTAGCTAAATGTACTTTTAGTTACAAAATATTTCTCAACATGTTCATATATATATAGTAGATAGAAAACATGAGTTTGTTAGTTTTTCTTATTTATGGTGACCTTTGAGAACACCCTGTATAATCTTCTCAACATTTATCCACTCACTTTATGAAAAAATTAAATTTCAATTATCATTAGAATATCTAGCACTGAATTTGTAGGCTAATTTAGGCAGAAATTACATCCTTACAGTTGTGAATCTTCCCATCTAAGAATGTGACATTTAACTTTTAAATGTGCCATTTAAGTTTGTTTATGTCCTTCACTGTAACAGGCTAATGTCCCCCAAAGCTATCCATTAAGTCCCTAATTTCCTGGAACCTATGAGTATGTTATCTTAATATGGCAAATAGAATTTTGCAGATGTAATTAAGTTTAAGGACCTGAAGATAAAGTTACCTTGAATCTAATCACAGGAGAGATTCAGAGGACAAGAATTCCATGCAATTAGCCGGGTGCCTGTTGTCCCAGGTACTCAGGAGGCTAAGGCAAGAGAATTGCCTAAGCCCAAGAGTTGGAGGTTGCTGTGAGCTGTATGACACCTTGGCACTCTACCCAGGGTGATAAAGTGAGACTCTGTCGCTACAAAAAAAAAAGAATTCCATGCAATTCAAAAGAACTACTGCTTCTGAAATGTAAGAGGCTATGAGCAAGGGGAGAGAGAGTACTCTAAGAAACATAGACCTGAATTCTACCAATAGCTGAATGAGCAAGTGTTGGGGATTCTCCTCTAGAGCATCCAGAAAGGAACAAAGCTGTGCTAACACCTTGAGTTTAACCCAGTGAGACTTCTCACCTACTGAACTATAAGATAATCAATTTCAGTTGCTTTAAGCCACTAAGATGAGAGTTCTTTGTTACCATGGCAATAGGAAACTAATACATGTACTAGAATTTTATAACTTTTTCATGCACATTTGCATGAATCTTGCTAGGTGTTAATATATTTGGAAGTATCCTTTTTTTTTTTTGAGACAGAGCCTCAAGCTGTCGCCGTGGGTGGAGTGCTGTGCCATCACAGCTCACAGCAACCTCCAACTCCTGGGCTCAA